GAACCTGCTCCTAAACAGGTTTGAGCTACCGGAACCATTGCTATGACAACAAGTCTCAGATCGTTTCAAATCATCAATATAATAATCCAGGTAATTGAGTAATACACGTAAGAAGAACAGACCCCAGGTTTTATATGGTCAATTGTGCAGTCTATTTTAGTTCCTCAAAATAGCAATGAACCAACAATGCGCCTAAACACATCTTCTTTCTAGACTAGAATACTTTCCAGACAGTCCACAAAGAGGCGCAAATGAATTTGCTATTTAAACAATGTGGTGCAAAACGGGAAAATTAGGCTTGCGCTGTTCTGAAAATAGCAACAAATCGCGCTAAACACGTCTTGCGCTTGTTGAACCAGGTATGAAAGAGCCCATTGAGTGGAACCCAGCATTTTTTACAGTGAACCTGCATCTATTCCTTCTGCAATCATATAGGCATGGCAACGGAGGTGGAGTTTCAAATGCAGCTTTAGAGAATGGTTAACAGGCTGGGGTCAAAACTGGAACAAAACAGATGGTAATCGATGGCTGTTTCTCAATCCCAGGAACACTGAGAATGAACTTGTGTTTTTGTGGAGATATTCTTGACAAGGTCCCCTGGAAATACAACCTCGGGAGACCGCAAGAACAGAGAACACGTCCTGTGAGAAATGAGATGCTGCGTTCTTCTCAGTGGTCACATGACCTTTACACATTTTTAATGTAAAATTATTTAAACATTACTGCATTCATACATTGTTTTATTGTTTTTCTCCTTTTCACAATATATACTATCCATAAAGACCTTACTAATATACTTTGAACAATACAAATTAAGCTAATTTTAATACAAATTTCAGCAAATAAACACCCTTAATATGTTTATGCTTTTATAAAGATTTTCAATATTACTTTCATTGTTTCATTTAGGGAAACTCTTAAGATAAATAATATCTCTGAACTATAACAATAAAAATGATGCCACCTCCTTTATTTAGCCACACATTGACTTTTGGGACTTCTCAAACAAGATTTGCACTCAAGCCTGCATCGACACATTCTTGATTTCAAGAACACATCCTTGACCCTTTTGGAGCCGAACTTTGGTTAAAGATGACATGATACACGAGACCACGAGGATGCAAGATTGAAAAATGCATATTGAGAAACAATATGCTGTCGATTGTGTAAGTGCATAAGTACATAGTGAATGAGTGTATATACTGTATAGTGTGCCATTTGAGACGCAGCTATTGTCTGGACTGGTAAAAACATTATGGGTTTTGTAGTCCGGGTGAATAGCAGAAGTAGTGTAGAGATAGCTGGAGTGCCCTCTAATGAGTCTGGTAGGCCCTTAAGCTAATATTCGTGACACCCAACAGCTTATTAAGTATCTATTAAAAAAAAAATGTAGACCTATTTGCTTACCACTGACCTGATCAAACACACCTGAACCAGTTAATTACGAGCTAAAGCAGCACTTGATAATTACAGACAGGTGTGTCAGGTCAGGGTTGCAAGTGAAATCTGCAGGAAGGTAGCTCTCCAGGATCAGAGTTGTTGACCCCTGGTTTAGATAATTAAAAATGTGTAATCAAAAATAACAAGGTGTAAAATTAGCATGGACATAAATTATGTGTACCCAGGATACTCTTGTGCTCTAAGCTGCACTTTTTAAAACAAAAACATTCCTGAGCACTGCGTCTTACATTTCTTAGACTCAAAGATGTATTGTGTGTAAATGGCTCTTACTGCTTTAGTTGGAAAATTGATCATTTACGAGGAATCTACTATTTTTATCATAACTGGTGTTGTTTTATGCTTTACATGTTATTTTTCAATATGGAAGGACAATCTGACATTGACACTAGAGATATTGGGCTACTAATGGATTTTAGGGTTCCATCAGTGTCATATCTAACCTTATTTATGAGTTTATTTCCTCTGGTGAACCAAGAAAAAGATATACTTAAAAATGCTGGTAGCCAAATTGACAGGACCAAAATGACTTCTATACTAAAGCAGTCAATAAATAGTCAACTCTTTGGTTACCAGCATTCTTTAAAATATCTTCATTTATATCCACTGTTAAGAAATTCTCATCATCTCAAAAACAAGATTCTTGTTTTCTGTAAAAATTAATCAAATTTAAACAAGTTTACTGTAGGATAAAGAACAAATCCTACTTAATTCATATGAGATTGGAACTTTTGTAGCCTGATGCTAGATGTTTAATCTGGTTTGAAGTATAACCTTAATTAATTTTGCTCAGTTTCTCAGAAAACAAGGCTTAATTACGTAATTTTGCATTTCAATAATGATGCATATTAATGGAAAAAAAAAAAGTACATTTACCGGCTTTACACTTACTACTTAAACACTTTATTAGGTACACCTGTCCAACTGCCCATTAACACAAATGTCTAATCAGCCAATCACATGGCAGCAACTCAATGCATTTTGGCATGTAGACATGATCAAGACCAGGGGTGCTCAATCCTGTTCCTGGAGATCTACCATCCTGGGCTGCGTCCGAAACCGCCTACTACTGAGTAGGTACTGCATTTAAATTTAAGCGTACTACTCTGCCGTTAGAAAAGTATGTTCTATACAGTATGAATTTAAAAACTATGAATGGAATTCGGACATACTACATCCGCCATTTTGTCATGGTCACGTGACCTACGTGCGTCAGTTGCGTCGCTTTACTTCCATTCATGAATTCGCTCGCGGGGCATCATGGGATAGCGCAGCATGCATGGGATGCGCACTCCGGAATCTCGCCGGATGTAGTAAGTCATCCGGGTACTTTTAGCATACTGATTTTCGAATTCTATGAATTCGGGCATACTACTCGGCTCGCATACTGATTTTGGCGTACCATATAGTATGGAAGTATGCGGTTTTGGACGCAGCCCTGCAGATTTCAGTTGCTACCCATATCAAACACACCTGAACCAATTAATTAGGACCTGAACACCACTTGATAATTACAGGCAGGTGTGTTTAATATGGGTAGCAACAGAAAACTGCAGGAAGGTAGATCTCCAGGAACAGGATTGAGCACCCCTGATCAAGACGATCTGCTGAAGTTCAAACCAAACATCAGAATGGAGAAAAAAGGTAATTTATGTGACTTTGCACGTGGCATGGTTGTTGGTGCCAGATGGGCTGGTATTTCAGAAGCTGCTGATCTACTGGGATGTTCACGTACAACCATCTCTAGGGTTTACCGAGATTAGTCTGAAAAAGAGAAAATATGCAGTGCTCTGTTCTGTGGGCGCAAATGCCTTGTTGATGCCAGGAGGTCAGAGAATGGCCTGACTGGTTTCAGCTGATAACAGTAACTCAAATAATTACTTGTTAAAACCGACGTATGCGGAGGAGCTCACAACTGAACACACAACACGTCGAACTCTGAGTTAGATGGATGGGCTACAGCACAGGAGACCATACCGGGTGTCACTCCTGTCAGAACAGGAAACTGAGGCTACAATTCACACATCAGACTCACCAAAATTGGACAATAGAAGATTGGAAAAACGTTGCCCGGTCTGATAAACCTTGAATTCTGCTGTGACATTCAGATGGTAGGGTCAAAATTTGCTGTCAGCAACATGAAAGCATGGATCCATCCTGCCTTGTATCTATGGTTCAGGCTGGTGTTGGTGGTGTAATGGTGTGGGAGATATTTTCTTGGCACACTTTGGGTCTATTAGTACCAATTGAGCATTGTGTCAACCCCACAGCTTACCTGAGTATTGTTGCTGACCAAGTCTATGCCTTTATGTCCACAGTGTACCCATCTTCTGATGGCGACTGCCAGCAGGATAACGCACCATGTCATAAAGTGCGAATCATCAGACTGGTTTCTTGATCATGACAATGAGTTCACTTTAGTCAAATGGCCTCCACAGTCACCAGGGCTCAATCCAATAGAGCACCTTTTGGATGTGATAAAAGAGGAGATTCACTTTATGGATGTGCAGCAAACAAATCCGCAGAAACTGCATGATGCTATCATATCAATATGGATCAAAAACTCCAGTACCTTGTTGAATCTTTGCCCTGAAGAATTAAGGCAGTTCTAAAGGCAAAATAGGGTCCAACCCGGTACTAGAAGGTGTACCTAATAAAGTGGCCAGTGAGTGTATATAGTTTTATTAGTGTGCAAATATGCATAAGACCTTCATTTTTGTGGTTCATGGATTGTTTAATATCATGTATTTATATATTTTAAACTTTCCGCAAATAAGAATTTGTTTTACGGGACTAAATTGTGGACGGGTAAATTAACAGTGTTCAAGACAGGCAGCAACTCATACAGCCTTCATTTATTATATTCACTCAAAAAATGACTTTTAACTTTGTTTAAACTACTTATTTAAGTTGAAACAACACAATTTTTCATTTTTGGAGGGACAACTTAATTGTTTTATGTCAAATCCACTTAAGTTTGTAACATTTTTTACAGTGTATTTTGAACATTAAAATATCTGATTGCATGGATGGATATTTATGTTCCAAAGACAAGGCTTATTGGTTTTAGGAAGAAAAAAAATAGAGAGATAATTTAAATTTTGGTCAGCTGTTGCATTAAAGGTGCCATATACTGTATTTTTCTCTAGGATGTGTTTGTTAAAAATTCACATTTAGCTTCTGAAACCAGAGCTGGTTTCTTGAACAGTGCAGTAGCCTAGATCTCTGTTTCTCAGATAACCTACTCTGGTTTCAGCCTGTTGAATTCAAGCACCAAACTTTCCTCACTCAGCGGCCTTTCCAAAGAAGATTTTACGTTCAAAGCTGTGATTGCTCTCTTGGGGCTATTGATTTCTTGCATAATTCATAAGGAATACATTTACTTTTGAATTTACATAATTAGCTTTGAGTGTAACAGTTAAATCCAGCCAACGGGAACTGACATCAGCCTAATTTGTTCAAAGACAACTTTTGCATTATATTTGGAATTTATAAGGGAGTTTAATGGCTTAGCAGTAAGATTAAGTGTGATGTGTTAGTGAGGCAAATCTAATGAGCATCTCATATCACCAAATCTCTTAAACACAACAAAGACCGCAGCTAAGCTTCCATATAGTGTTCAGACTTGGATAATGTGTCACTCTGGGGTTTCATGTGGCTGTTTGCTGATTCAATGCTTGTGAGCGGTGTAAAGGTCCCAGCCTTTGGAAGTAGTGTCCTTCTAACCAGTTTTTGGCAATCTATTACCGAAGCAAATGCAACCCCTTTATTGAAAAGTGATTTGACAACAGAAGAAAGAAAAAGCTTTGGTGGAAAGTGCTTCAACTTTTATGAGAGAGCATTGGTCAAGAAAGCATGGAAGAAGAAAACGACCCTTCTCCATTCAGACTCCCTCCGATCTTGAGGCCTCCATTGAGTATCACTGGACTTTACATTCCAAGGTGAGATTGAGTTGACTCCAGTTTAGATGAAGTACCATGTAATGAAGAGTGTAGTGTTATGTAAAATGTTTGGGAATGTTTTGCATTGTGATGCTAGTCACTTATTTGTGCTGAATAGTTGAACTGTCTGCTGTTCTTCAGAAAAATCTTCAGTTTTTTCAGTAACTATATGATTTTGAGAACCATCCTGGTACCTGGATGAAACCATCCCAAAGATTAAGTATGGTTATGGCCACATTAAAGAGTGCAGTCATTGGTTTTTTTTTTTTAAGTAAATGAGGGATTCATCAGGGTGGATGAAAAGCTCAGTGCAGCAAATATAAAAGATGTCCTTTGACCAAAGGACTCAGGACCACACTTACAAAAAAAAAAAAAAAAAAAAAAAAAAAAAAAAAAAAAATCCACCTTTAAACAGCAGAATCACTTTAAGCCGACGAGGTGTAATGTTTAACAAAAGTGACCTGAGGTAAAATTGTGTAAATACCTTGTCATGTTAGGGTGATAAAAACAGGAACAAAAACGGGTAAAGAATCCAAGTGCAGATCTCTTAATGTGAGAGTGCAGCAACAGTGACAAAATCCAAAAATCAAAGTAACAAAACAAACAAACAAACAAACAAACAAACAAACTAGGAACTCAAACAGACTAAACTAGAACTAGACTTTAGCACAAGAACAGGATATAAACCGGAATCAGGTAGCATACCAACAGGAACGACAACAACCAACTAACAAACAGAGGTGGAATGGTTGAATATATACTCCAGGTAATCAACGGGGATTGGAGACAGCTGTGGTTGTAAATCCGTGTAGATGACAGACCGGGTGTGTGCGTGAAAGAATGTATGGAAATGTAGTCTTTTTGGATGCTGTAGTTCCACTCAGTGTCCATTGAACTACAGCGTCCTCAGGTGGTCACTGACAGTCATGACATACCTATGCAGTGGAATTATTTCAGTCTTTCCTTTTCAATAAACTTGCAAAGTTGTCATAAAAACGACTTTGTGTGATGGACTGGGGAATGTACATTGTAAGTGCATGAAGCATGAAAAAAAGTGATTTAAACTAGACTTTGCTTTTGAATTTTACAAAAGAGACAACAGGGTCTACCACAAGCACCAGAATAAAGGACTAAACCAACAGGCTTGCAGAAAGATGACTTCCAGTTCTCAGAAGGAACACATTCCTGCTGTCATTAAGGGACATCGACACTTCAGTTTCGGAGGATCTGTGTTACCTGAGTAAGCTCTGCTGTTTTTTAAGGACATTTTTGATACTAATCACAATTTTGTCAAAAATATAAATATAATTTGCATTATTGTTAAATCAGACAAATGAAACCTATTACACTGCTTTAATTTGATATATTATATTATATTATATTATATTATATTATATTATATTATATTATATTATATTATATTATATTATATTATATTATATTATAAAATATTTTAATTTAAAGGAATAAGTGCTATACAGATTTTTTTTTCTGTGATGTAGAACTTGATAATTTATTACTTTTTTCTGTCCAAATTTTTTTTTTTTATACATTTTGAGCATCATTTACAGAAGACACACTAAAATGTTTAGCAGCACTATAGCTGCTGCTAAACTTTTTATGAATACATGATTTTCCTCTTATTTTATTGAGCTACAAGCTGGTCCCACAAATTACAATATTAAACCATTGTATATTATCTATAAACAAACTGTAACAGTTTTAGCTAAAAAGCCTAGGAGCTATCATCATTGTAACTGTATTGCACAACATAAATTACTAGCATTTGACAGTTTCTTATTTTATGCTGATGTGAGTTTAATGTATAAATATTTCATGATCTTGCACAACAATGTTTGATTGTCTGTAAGGACAATATAACAGACTAGGTCATCAGTTAGAGGTGATTGTTCAGTTAAACTTAGGAGAACTGCTTTTGGACAATTAAGTTTTTTTCAGTCAGAGCAGCAGAAAGATGGAATAAATTACCAGTGGATATAAGAGAGTAGCACTTTGACTAATTTTAAAACTGTTCTTAAAATTTGGCTTAAACAAAATCAAATATGTAGCCACTGATTTGGGTTCATTTTACTGATAATGATGTAATGCATGTCTGGTTTTGTAAGTGTATAATGAATTGTTTTTTTTACTTTTAAATTTGTTACTTCCTGCCCAGGGTAAATTAGCAGATGTAAATTAGCTTTATAGCTAACTCTGGAACAACATCTCGTGTTGTACATTGTCCCTGTATAAATAAATACATTAAAATAAATAAATAAATAAATAAATAAATAAATAAATTTTAATTTGTTGTAAACACAATTTACACACTGTGTTAAAACCTTGTAATTTCTACTAAAATTATCAAAGGAAATTTTTAAATATTTAAGGATCACAGTGGAGATCCAAATTTTTATTTCTGTTTTTAGATATTTATAATTTACCAATTTCATTTAATTCATTTTACTTTTACCCATTTGTTATTGAAAGCAACCCTTTGTGTTTTTAATATCTTTGACACAATTTATGGATTTGAATGTGTAATAAGAATGTTGTTTTATTTTCACATTTATGCATACACAGTTAAAGTAAGAATTATTAGCCCCCCTTTGATTTTCTTTTCTTTCTTAAATATTTCCCAAATGATGTTTAACAGAGCAAGGACATTTTTACAGTATGTCTGATAATTTTTTTATTCTGGAAAAAGTCTTATTTGTTTTATTTTGGCTAGAATAAAAGCAGTTTTTAATTTTTAAAAAACCATTTTAGTGTCAAAATTATAAGCCCCTTTAAGCTCTATTTTTTCGATAGTCTAAAGAACAAACCATTTATATACAATAACTTGCCTAATTACTCTAACCCTAGTTAACCTAATTAACCTAGTTAAGCCTTTAAATGTCACTTTAAGCTGTATAGAAGTGTCTTGAAATAAATCTAGTCAAATATTATTTACTGTCATCATGGCAAAAATAAAATGAATCAGTTATTAGAAATGAGTTATTAAAACTATTATGTTTAGAAATGTGTTTAAAAAATCTTCTATCTGTTAAACAGAAAGTGGGGGGGGGGGTTACTTGGGTGGCTAATAAATCAGGGGTTCTAATAATTCTGACTTCAACTGTATGCGTGTGAAATATATCTGATACACCGAATATTGATAAGTTGATTTTTTTTTTCACACAAAAGTTATGCATACATGTCATTCATTTATTGTTTTAAAAAGTTTATTTGACTATTTAATTAAATTAAATAACCGAAATGAAATATTATATTAGTTAATATTTTGTTTACACTATTTCATAAATATGTTTTATTATTAAATTTCATTCCATTTTTAACACTGTTTTACTTGTTTTAGTAAAAACTCAGTTTAAAAAAAAAGCTTTTATGTCTTTTATAAATATATATGTCTTTTATATATACATATATATATATATATATATATATATATATATATATATATATATATATATATATATATATATATATATATATATATACTGAGGGATTTAAAAACTATAATTCAATATGCTTCCTTTCAGGTCTGTCATCATTGAGCAATATTACAACCTTACACTAACTAAGAAGAGTAATGTCCGACTGAATGACCAGCTGTAAGCTGTATTTTTTTTCAGAAGCTCATAATGAAACATTGTCAATAAAATTAGCATTATTTATTTATTTGCTACTTTTATGTTTTTTATCAAGGATTCCCAAGCCAACAGACATCGATATGAGGTAAAATATTAAAACATATTTCTTATTTCTGTCCTTTTTTTTCAGTCTGCTTTTTTCCACCTCCTTTTCGGTGTTTTCATATTGTTGAGTAACTGACTGTGCAGTCAGGCAGGGACGGGTCAAGGACAAAGTGAAAGCTCAAGAGATTTATAATCTGTATCTGTGTGTGTTCTTACAGTACAAAGATGATTAAAGTTGATATCCCACGGGAACATCCATACAGCTCCCACATCGCCCGGTATCCTGCTGTATTTCCATCATACCGATCACCAGCAGTACAGTCCTCCATTCCCGCAGCTCCTGTTCTTGTGTGGCGGCACCATCAAAGAAGCAAAATATAAAATGAAAAATAAAACAGTAGTAAATATGTAAAGTATTTCAAACATTTTGTGAACAAAACACACACACACACACACACACACACATTGTATAGTGCAGATGAACCCATTTAGAAATAAAATACATAAACTACTGTTCAAAAGTTTAGGATCAATTTTTTTTGTTTTTAAAACAAGCCTATTCGGCTCACAAAAGGTAAATTATTTGCACTGTAAAAAAACAAATCTGTAATTTTACGTTTTGTTTTTAGCAGCTGATGTGCCAGAAAAAAAACATAAAATATCAGCCGTTAAATTACAGAAATTTAATGTAAAATAACGGATATTAAATTACAGCAGTTTCCTTTAATTTAAATTTCTGATAAATGTCTGTTATTTAATATCTGTTATTTTACAGTAATTTCTGTAATTTAAGGGCCATAAAATTACGGATTTTTTACAGTGTGATCAAATATGGTAAAGTAATTATTAATTTTAAGTGAGCATAACGTAAAACAGTGTGCATTTACAACCTTTTTAATGAAGTAAACTTCAGTACCATTGACTCAAAATAATTAGTGTTCACATTACTAGAAAAATATAAGGAAACTGATTGCATTAAAATGATCAAGTAAGCTGAACTAAAAAAATTTGAGTAAAGACAAAAAACAATAACTTGCTTACAATCTCCCAGGGCCATTTATAACGATGTTCATATTTAGCTGCACCATGTTGTGTTTTATAACATCTAATTTTACAAGGTAAGTCGTCAGCCCAATGCTCAACCCCCAACCTCGAGGACCAGGACATACACACATTTGGACAATTTAGCTTACCAAATTGACTTATAACTCCACACAGAAATGCACAGAAAACTGACCCAGCCGGGGCTCAAACCAGTGAACTTTCTGAGGCTACCCACTGCTGTTTCCCCAGTTCCCTCATCGGCATTCTCTAACATGAACATGCTTTTGACACATCACAATTCAAAAGTTGTAAATTCATATTTGTCACACCCTCAGCTCGTTTCTCCCTCACCATCCACCACTCACCACATCCGTGGACAATCACCTGATTACTGATCACCTGCACCTGCACCTGCAGTCACCCATGCATTATAAAGACTTACCTCATTCATTCATTTACTGGCTGGAATCGAAATCAGTTGGTTCTCTTCATCTGCTCTACCTCTCCCTCTTGTACGCTTCTGTAGATGCAAACACACCTGCTTAATAGAAGTGACTAAAGCTTTGTTGGTGTTACACTGAAGGTCTGAAAGTTACCATTTGAACTTTGAGTGAGAATGCTCTCCCTCTGCTAAACCACTTACCTGCTTCATCTCTTTGCATTTGTTGCGTTGCACAAATAAATATCCTTAAAGATTTATCCATCTTTGTTTTCCTTGTGTTACTGTGACAATATTATCTTAAGTCAAGATTACTTGAATTTATTTAGTTTAGTTAGCCAAATTAAAATATGAGACTTTTAACTTACTGTAAAAATTTCCTTGCTGTGTTAAACATAATCTGGGAAATGTTAAAGAAAAAAATTAAAGGGGGGTAATAATTCTGACTTTAACTGTGTTTACAGTTTTTTACAATTGCTATGACACTTTTTTCAATACATTTAAGTTTCCTATACTCTTAACACGGTTTGCACAACATCTGTCTTCGTGGGCTATACAATTAACACATTTCTTGTTGCTTTGACACAAAATGCATCCAGTTAACACAAATTTAAAATGCTTAAACTTCTTTTACACAAAAACTCAACCAAAACCAAAACAATGTAATTTCACAGTCCAATTTACCAATGCTTTCACACAGTATGTCAGAACAGATAACATCATGTCCTAAACAGAACCTATATAGGCTAAAGCCAAAGTGAACAGCTGTTCATATTGTCAATTGAAACACAAATATATTCCCTGTATGTATATATATATATATATATATATATATATATATATATATATATATATATATATATATATATATATATATATATATATATATTATTGTATTTAGTTTATAATGTGTGATTTTGAGCATGAAATTACCTGTTTTGCCAATTGTGTGTTTTAGGTGTGTTGGTGCGTTAAGAGTTTAGCAAACTTGTTACAGTTTTTCTCGATTGCTTGGATGCAGTTGTCAACTGAAACTCCACATTTTCAAAACAGTTAACACACAGGCCTAAACAGCGGCACTCATGGGCAAAATGACACATTTTGCTTGCAAAAGGCACATATCGTGTCAAAACATTTAACATATGCAACAAAAGCTAGTTTTACCTTCAAACTACACAACTTGCAAACAAGTATATGAGCTCTTTCAATTAATCATTACACAACGGACAACAAAATACAAAATACAGAACTTAAAATGCACCACCATTGCTTGCCATTGTAGCTTATAGCCAATGGCATTTGTTGTCTCTATTTGGGCTGTCAAATTCGCCTTTTTGCAAAGAATTAGATCAAGAATAAGATGTGCTTTGATTGAATATATATTGAATTCATGACAGACATTTTTCAAACTGTGGCTGAAAACTGAAATACTGTATATAAAAAAAGCAGACAAAAGTAATAAAATACTGTAAATATTAGAGAAAACACATGTAAACTAATATACAGTCAAATCTATTGGGAGTATAGGACATAGCCATACTGACCTCCTCCATCCATGCTGGCACAGAACAACACAGATCTTCCATCGTTTTTATAAGGTTTGCAGACTGATGGCTAATTGAAGATTTGTGTAAAGGAGTGTCAAACCGGTGCTTCAGTGATTTCATACTGATGTTGGTAGTTTTTAATAGTTAGGAATAGATGGATTCTGTTTGGTTACCAAAACTAAAACAATGGAGTTTGGACTGCTTGAATGACATCTGTGTTAACTGTTTGGAAAAATGGTAGGGAAAATGTGTCAACCCAATGAGAAAGGGTTTACACATTTGCAAGACCTGTCTTCTGCTCTGCTGGGATAGTGATAATGAAAATATAGAGGAACCTAGTTTCTTTAACCAGGTCAAAGCAAACTAGAAAAACTGTAATATACAGTCAAAACTATTGGGAGTATAGGACATAGCCATATTGACCTACTCCATCAATGCTGGCACAGAACAACACAGACCTTCCATCGTTTTTATAAGGTTTGCAGAATGATGGCTAATTGAAGATTTGTGTGAAGGAGTGTCAAACCGGTGCTTCAGTGATTTCATACTGATGTTGGTAGTTTTTAATAGTTAGGAATAGATGGATTCTGTTTGGTTACCAAAACTAAAACAATGGAGTTTGGACTGCTTGAATGACATCTGTGTTAACTGTTTGGAAAAATGGTGGGGAAAATGTGTCAACCCAATGAGAAAGGGTTTATACATTTGCAAGACCGGTCCTCTGCTCTGCTGGGATAGTGAAAATGAAAATGAAGAGGAACCTAGTTTCTTTAACCAGGTCAAAGCAAACTAGAAAAACTGTAAATGTATTTAAAAAAGTGTCATAGCCATTGTAAAAAACTGTAAATGCACACACACACACACACATACATACATGTATATATACATATATGCAAGCTCCCATCTCCCATATGAACATGATTCCCATCTAGAAAGCACACTCCTGTGTTGAGATTTTTCAGATCACATGATCATACTGTATGTTCTAGGCCTTATGAGGTTTTTGAAAGGAACAGTTAGCACATTGCAGAACTCCGTCACCAATACGTCCAGGTAAGGTTATGCAATACAGTCATTACTTTACTATGCACAGTGTGTTTTGCAATAACCTACTCTATAAACCTGGCGTTCATTAGTACATACATTAGTTATAGTACAGTGGACCATTTACACTATGTCTAATTACTTTTAGAGGGTCATGAAATTGGAGGTCAATCAAGTCCCACATTAAATTATCTATGTTGACGAAGCTGGCTTTAACTTGGCGAAAGGGCGTCGCCATAGGAGAAACATAACAGGCCAAAGGGCCATCGTTAACATGCCGGGCCAGAGAAGAAGTCGGGCAAATGCAGAAGACCAGGCAGAACAGAAAATGATTTAGTTTTTTATTATAATTGTGATGCTTTTTCTGTTTGTATATCTTGCAGTGATGTCCTTTTGCAAATAAAGTCTCCTGCAGCAATTCTGTGTCTGTATTTTTTTTTAAACTGTAAATTTTATAAAGCAATTTTTTTTCTTTATTTTTGTATTGAATTTTTGCAGTAAAAAAAAGAAAATGCATTTACTAAACCCAACAAAATGAAAATGTAGAGAGTCTTAAAATATAAGGGCAAAGCTGACACATAAACTAATGCAGTTTCTGTAATTTTAGCTGATGATAGTGTTTTTATTGTCAGTGTTTTCTGATTGACTGAATGTTTCTGTTGAAAGAGAACATGTGTTTGTGTTTGGAACAATTATGTAATTTTGAAACATGTTTGTAGTGTTTTGTCAGACATAGTGTAGTCTATTTGTTTATTATTGTATTTTGAAAAGTAGTTTAGAGGTTTAGTTTACAATGTGTGATTTTGAGCATAAAATTAACTGTTTTGTCAATTGTGTGTTTTAGGTGTGTTGGTGCGTTAAGAGTTTAGCAAACTTGTTAAATGTATTGAAAAAACTGTCATAGCCATTGTAAAAAACTGTAATATATATATATATATATATATATATAAATACATAGCTTAAGGGGGCTAATAATTTAGTCTTTAAAATGGTTCATAAAAAATTAAAAGAGCTTTTATTCAAGCAGAAATAAAACAAATGAGACTTTTTCCAGAAGAAAACCTATTATCAGACATACTGTGACAATTTCCTTGCTCTGTTAAACTTCATTTGGGAAATATTTAAAAAAGAAAAAAAGAAATAATTCCGACTTCAATTATATATATATATATATATATATATATATATATATATATATATATATATATATATATATATATATATATATATATATATATATATATATATATTGCCAAATCATGCCCAACAGAGCCGGGTTTCTTTCATGTTTTTTTTTTTCTTTCACTTTTTTCAATTGGTAAAGTTTGTTTCTCGCCAC